AATCCTGGAACGAGAACTTGTCGAAGTATTTCCTAAAAGGATTTAACTGACAACCGTTGTCTCCCGTCACTTGGACTTGCTTAGTTCAAAAAGAACCGTCTCCACACACCCGTGACCGTCCGAGTCAAACTGCTTTATTGCGGAAGAGCCCCACGCACCGATCGGCACCTGCTCGGAGTTGGATCGAAGGGCCCCGGAGGGGGGGAATTCAAGGGGGGGTTAGGTTTCACGTGCTGGTGACAAGGTGTAGGGATGCGAGGCGGTTCCCTCCTCTGACTCTGCCACGCTACAACGGGCAACAGGAAGGCCGCAGGAGCCGATGACATGCCCAGGGGTTGTTCGTAAGGGTGGGAGGCAGGCAGAAGGCGCCCCTGGGGGAACCGCCAAGGTGGTCCGGAGGGCCAGGTGCGCTAAACCTGGCCCCTCCCTCCGGCTTAGTAGGGGTGGTCCCGCGTGTGCTCCATGATGACCATCAGGGCGAGCCAGGTCTCCTCTGCCGTGGGAAGGATCTGGTTAGCCGGGAGGAGGAACCCGTACCGGCCTTTGTCCCTCAGCTCAAAGGTGTAGGAGTATTTAATGCCTTGGTCGTAGGTCCAGTCAACCGTGCCTCCGCTTGCTTGGTCTAGGAGCCAGGAAAGAGAGGGTGAGAAAGAAGGCCGGCTCGTGAAAACCGCCTCCGCTAGCGTTTCATGCAGAACAAACGCACCCCCATAGTCCCCCCCCCCCGCTCTCCCTTCGAGCGCTGATGACGTTGCCTAGCTGGGTCATGAAACGTCCGCGAGGAAGCAACCAAGCTCGGAGAGCACAATGGGTTCCACGGTTCTCCTCCTCGCCACAACCCCCTTTCAACACTGATGATGTTACCTAGTTAGGTAGTGAAATGTCTGCAACCGAATTCAGCACCAAGGGGTTCACAGTAGTACTTCCTCCTCCCCTCCCCTTTCTCCCCTTCCTCCTCCCATTGTTAAAGCCTACTCTTCTGGCACTCATGTTGCTGCCTACTGGTAGTTGGGTAACGTAATGGGTTCGAGAAAACCAAGCTAAGAGCACCAAGGACTCCACAGTCCTCCTCCGCAGCCCCCTTTCCCTTCTAGTTAGGTAGTGAACCGCCTGCAACCAAACTCAGCACCAAGGAGCTCGTAGTAGTTCTTCCTCCTTCCTTTCTCTTCCTCCTGCCTTCCTCCTCCTCTGCAAACCCCACTCCCTGCTAGCGCTGAGGGTGTTACCTAGTCAGGTCGTGAAATGTCTGAAAGAAAATCGCCCAGCTCGGAGAGCATTAAGGATCCCAGACACCAGGTCCCCAACCCAGTCAAGGAGCCACCAACACTAACAGAGCAGGCCAGGTGTGCTGTGTGTAAACAACTAAGGTGAGCAGAGAGAGGGCCAATTTTTTTTTTCACAGAGACCTAAAATTGCAGTTGTTGCAATTTTGTCTTGTTGCATAACACATCTAATTGGGTCACGGGGAAGGGCACAATGTCGCACAAGCCAGAAAACCAGATCAACTCAATTAGCCTGAATGGGATTAAATTTAGACCTGCAGCCACACATCTGTTTTAACTCATTAGCTCACTAACCATTTCCTCCAGTTTGTAAAGGTTTCCTCCCTCCACCTGTGAGACGGGGTCTTAGAGAGACCTCACACTTCCCCCTACGGCACTAGGACAACTCGCAGCATCCAGGTGACAGTTCCCAGGTGGGCGTGGCTGGGTGGGCATGGTCAGCTTGGCACGGCTGGGTGTGCCCAGCCAGGTGGACGCAACCACATAGGTGTGGTCGGGTGGGTGCCGCCAGGTGGGCACAAAAGTAGTCGCTCTGGGCAATTGGAGGTGAGAGGCTGCTGTGAGTCGTCCCATTCCATTCGGGGACCTTCTCCCGGTTCTTCCTCCACAGGAGGACAGAGAACGAAAAAGGGCTTTTTCCCTCTTGATAGATTTCCACGTTCACACATCCACCTGGGAAGAGTCCGGATAAAATCAGCGGACCAAGGTTTCCCCACCATAATGTGACGGTGGTGCTGGGTTGGCCGTAAAGAAGAAGAAGATTTGGGAGTCCCGATCAATGGAATAAGTCAAGGCCCGTCTCCCAACTACCGTGGCTTTAATAACAGTGAAAGAGTTGGAAGGGCCCTTGGAGGTCTCCTAGTCCAACCCCTGCTCAAGCAGGAAATAATCTACTGGATTCCTTATGGATTCAGACGTCAACTAAGCCATCCTGATGTCATCCGGGTCATGGTTGCCCCAAAGGTGCTTTTATTTCAAGAGGCAACTGGACTTCCTGGTTTTTCTTTGAAGACGTTTCGCTTCTCCTCCAAGAAGCTTCTTCGGCTCTGACTGGATGGTGGAGGACGGAAGGATTGATACTCCTTGCAGACAGCTGGTCATTTGCATCCTTTCGGAGGGTGGTTGAGGCCACTTGGAGGCTGATCTGCGTCCTCAGGGTCACACCTGACTGGTGCAAATGGGTGTGGAATTGCACCGTCCTTTTGTACTGCAAGTGGGCTCCACCCCCGTTTGCAATACTCAGGTGGCCCTGAGGACGCAGATCAGCCTCCAAGCGGCCTCAACGACACGCTGAAAGGATGCAAACGACCGGCTTTGTCTGCAAGGAGTGTCAATCCTTCCATTCCTCACTGACCAAATCCGAACGGAAGAAGCTTCTGGGATGAGACGCGAAATGTCTTCAGAGAAAAACAAAGAGAGTCCGGTTTCCTCTTGAAAAAAGAAAAAAAAAATGCACTTTTGGGATAACTAATCCTAATCAAACCGTAGGGCCCTTCCGATACAGGCAGTCCTTGGCTTACGACCCCAACCGAGCCCAAAATTGCTGTCGCTAACCGCAACATGTATCGTTAGTCTCTCCCCCCCCCCCATTTTAGCCCCTTTCTTCCCACCGCTGTTTAGTGAATCTCTGCCGTTGTTTGGTTAGTCACCCGCTTGTTAAGCGAATCCGGCTTCCCCATGGCTCACCCGAAGGTCACCCAAGGGGAACGCACGCGACCCCACGACCGTCATAAATACGAGTCCCCGGCCAAGCATTATTTTTAATTTCAACCACGTGACCAGGCAGGGGGCTTCCGCCACAGTTGCGTGGGAAACTCTTTTCAGTGCTGCGGCAACTACGGACGGTCGCTAAACGAACGGCCGTAAGCACAGGACTCCCCGGCTGGCCGATGGCCGCGGCCTTCTCGGGTTTTTTGGGGGTCACTTACAGATCGTGTTGATGATGCTGCCGTATCTGTACTTGGTTCCGTGGAGGGACTCCAGAGCGGCGACGGCCTTCTTCGCCAGAGCATCCTGGGGAGAGAAAGGCGGAGAAGGTTACAAAGAGGACCAAGGTTTAGAAGGCTTTTTTTTTTTCCTTCCACGGCTTTACGGAGCGACGAGCCGCTGAAAGAACTAGAAAGAAATTAAGACGAGCTGTTGGGTTGCCCAAGCATCATATGCGGACCATGCCAATGCAATCCTAAGCTGTGTTAGCAGGGGGATACAATCAAGATCAAATAAGGTACTAATACCACTCGCTAAAGTCTTAGTAAGGCCACACTATGAAAAAGACGTTGAGACTCTGGAAAAAGTGCAGAGAAGAGCAACCAGGCGGATGAGGGGACTGGAGGCTAAAATATACAATGAACAGTTGCAGGAACCGGGCCTGGCTGGTCTAGGGAAGAGAAGGACCAGGGGAGACAGGAGAGCATCTTCCAATATTTGAGGGGCCGCCATAGAGAGGAGGAAGGGGGTCAAGCTATTCTCCAAAGCACCCAAAGGCCAGACAAGGAATAATGGATGGAAACTGAACGAGGAGAGATTCAACCTAGAAATAAGGAGGAAGTTTCTGACAGTGAAAACCATCAACTCATGGAACAGAAGTTGTGGAAGTTTCATCCCTGGAGGTTGTGAAAATACCCAAACAAATCCGAATGCCATACATTTAAGTACCCGCGAAAATTTAAGAAAACATATAGAGAGAGGGGGATGGAGAGAGAGAGGGAGAGGGAGAATGAGAGCTAGAGAGAATGAGGGAGAGAGAATGGGAATAAGAGCTAGAGAGAGAGAAAGAAAGAAAGAAAGGGGGGAGAGTGAGAGAGAGAGAGAGAGAGAGAGAGAACAAAAACTAGAGGAGAACATTATAAAAGAAGTTTCAGGTGGTTCTTCCGAGGAGGCTTACCAGCTCCAGGTGATCTGCCGCTTGCTGCTTGGTGTAACCATAAGGATAGAGGAGCATCTGGGAGTAACTGTGGATGGAAATGAAAGCCTTGATGTTGCCATGTTGCCGCACAAAATCCACAATGGCTTTCACCTCCGGTTCGGACTCCGCATACGGTCCACGGTAGGTTTCCGAGCACGGGTTCCCACTGGCGCCATTTCCTGCAAAGGACAACAACCGTGCGTCAGGGCAGAGTTTAAAGATTTAGGAGGAGGGAAACAGGCCGGTGCTACCTGGGTGCAGCCGACTCCGAGACACATCATTCATTTCCCCCTTGACCCTGGTCTTCCCTCCACCCCCTGGATGTATATTCTCCAATGGGACACTTCCATAGCCAAGAGTGTAGTAATCTTGCACGCCAGAAGCTTCACCCTCCTAGAAATTATCTATGAAAGTATTTAAGGAATGCACTACTCCCTCCGCTTCCTTTCTGCTGACAACTCCAAAAGACCAGAGAAATATTTTTGTGTTGACGCCATGCCGTGACTCTTGAAAAAACTTGAGGGTAGTGCTCCACTTATGACCGCAATTGAGGCCCCAGTTTCTGTTGTTAAATGGGACCATTGGTCATGCCCTTGTTGGAGTCTGATTCTAAGGGGGAGATTGAGCAGCTGGCAGGGGGTGGGAGTGTGGCTCCTGTGGGTGTGGAGGAAACTGGGGAAGGGCACAGCCTGGCTGGGCATTCGGAGGAAGACCCAGGGCCACCCACTCTTCATCCTAGGGCATGCAGGGAGGAACAGAGAAGGGAGCAACATGGCTTACGGGAGAGGAAAAGGCCCTGATCCCTTTCATTAGTTGCAACTGGGAGAACAGGATATAAGAAGGGCATTTGCACACGGCTCCTTGCTGGAAGCAAAGCGTGCCTTATCTTTGTCGAGGCTTATCTGGGTTTTGGGGTCCTCCCAACTGTGGTTGCTGGGTTATCCTTTGAAAGTCTGCAATTTATCATCCTGGCCTGCCGCGTTAATTACTTCAGCGTCATTTGTGTTGGGTTTTTTATTTCTATTTATCTTTACTTTGAGTTTGGACTGCATTTCTTCCCTTTGTAGACTGTTTTTGGAAGAGTTTGATCTCCAGCCGAGGATAATTGGACATTGGGGGCCAAGTTGGAGGCATTAAAGGGAATTTATTCTACTTTTGTGACTTGGTTATTTTTGTGTCACGCCCCTTTGGGTCATCCCACAGTTGTTCAGTGAATTTTGTTCCATTTTACCACCTTGCTGGCTGTGGTTGTTAAGTGAATCCCTCAACAGTTCTTCAGTTAGTCACACGGTCGCTAAGCAAATCCGGCTTCCCCGTTGATTTTCAGAAGGTCACAAAAGGGGAGATCACATGACCGTGGCAAGAAAGGTCATAAGATGGAACGAAATTCACTTAGCAACTGCCTGCCAACATCATAAACGCATGCCAGTAGCCCAGCGTCTGAGTTTTGATCGCATGACCATGGGGGGAATGCTGCTGCAACGGTCGTTAAGTATGAAAAATGGTCATAAGTCTCTCTTTTTTTTTTTTTCAGGGCTGTTGTAACTTTCAACAGTCACTAAGTGAAAGTATCAGGATTCCGGCACTTAACCCCATTGAAATCACGAGTCTCGAGCCAAACTTCCAAAACTTCAAAAGGATTTATTGGAAGTTAACATGCCCGGCACTGCCTGGGTGCAGCCGACTCCGAGACACATCATTCATGGTCACCCTTGACCCTGGTTTCCCCACCCCCACCCCTCCCCCTGGATGTATCGTAATTCTTATCCTCCAATGGGACCCATCCATAGCCCAGAGTCATCAAACAAGCTCTCTGGTTAGAATTTTGTCCGCCTAGTTACTATCTTTGAAAACTTCGGTCGCCTAGTTACTATCTTGGAAAACATTGATGGAATGCACTTTCGGTTTGCAAAGTGCCGCATTG